CTTCTCTATGCCTTTATTTTTCACCACTAAAATGCCAAGACCGCCCGGACAGTTAGCTTAAAGGACCACGTTAACAAACTGTGATGTTACTGGGATGCTCCCACACATCGCGTGCATGCTCTTCGAAGCTGCTTTGCATAACTGCGCTTAGGATCTAACTCCTATTTGATGTATGTGCGTCGTTTATGCACAGGCCATGCAGCTGCTCGATTATCTCTCCCTCAATAATAAGTGATTTTCGCCGGTTAAATGTAAGATAAGCTTGCCTATCGGCCCTACTTCCTATTTATCTGCAATACGGTTTCCACGCACTATATTGTGTGCTAATTTTAGAACAGGCGACTATTCGTACGTCAAATTTTTCAAACTAACCAACGGACCATCGGATGATATCCAGAAAGTGCTCCTCGATATATGCCAATCGAATGATATTCGTTTTCCAACTTACATTGCTCAGCGACGTGCTGAACGATGGGACATCGACCGAGCGGCCAAAATGTTCATCGAAATGTTTCGGAACAATAAGCTGCGCGACCACTGCCTCGATATTGATTTGTTCCAAAACTATATTACTAAAATTATATAAATTCTGTGTGATAAATTTACTGCCAGGAAAAGCAACCGCCCGGGAGAAGCACCATCGCGAACCTGCCAGAGGGAAATTTCTCCGAACAAGCTGCTATCGCTGAGTTCCTCGCTGCTCCACCACAGCTCTTCGTAGGAAGTGGAAACACATGAATCCCAAACTGACTCAGTTTATCAGACTTGTTATCAAATTAACTATGGCACACCACACAGTAATCGATGCGATCGTGCGATTTCTGGGGCTCTGTCTAACAGGCAGTTGTTGTAAGGAATATTTACTGTTTTACGGGCTGGTATTTGCAAAAATACAGGACTCCATGTACTCAAGTTTGAAACATAGGTGTACATAAGAACTAGATGTGAATTTGTAGGTCCAAAAAATTTGATAATTTCAGCTTTTTCTTGTTTGATCTCCGAACTAAAAATTCCCCGCGTAAAATCCCAAGCGTCCGAATCTAAAAAACAAGCGTACATGACCGTACAAACACACACACACACACACACACGAATAGGTGAAAGAACATGTGTTTAGTGCAGCTGTTACACAGCATAACACTTCTAAAAACTGTTTGAAGAGCATAAAATTTTCCCCCGTGAGATTTTCGTTATTTTGTATGTAAGCAAGAAACACTGTTTAATTCATGCAAAAAACTGCGTACACGAGGCGCAACACAGAACTTCATAACATTTATTCTTTAAAACACGAAAAAGTTTTATCACGGCGCGGCAAGGAAAAAAAATTAAAACAGCGGTCTATTTTACGGTTTTAGCTCAGAAACGTAGTGGTATTGTTTTCTCGTCTTCTGCTTTGTTTTTTCATTACTCTATTTTTATGTTGTACGACACATGCCCATCATATAAATGGCGACCGGGAAGCTCATTCCCATTCTTACCCGCATTTTGCGTTCGGTCTATGTTTACAGCTAACAGATGAAACACAGACTACATCCAAACATGCTGTCTTGCATATGATACTCACCCTGGTCCCTTATCTTCTATTCACTTATTTTAGAAATTCCTTTATTTATTCGTTTCAAATCCGACAGGCGGATGCATAAAAAGCATCGCCCCGTGCTACAAAGATTTCAGATTGTCTTCCAACATTAGCATCAAATGGCACCGGCTTCCTTCAGCATCTTTTCCAGAGTTCCGTCTTTTTGCGCAGCTACTGTTTCGCTTCCACCACCAATGCATTTGCCACCAATAAAGACACGCGGAACTGTGCGCGCGCCGCCTAATTCTTGTAAAACATCCTGAAAATCAATGATTCGGAGCCTTTCTGCAGTATACACATGACGAACTGACTGTACAAATTTCGCACTGATTATGGATCACAGCGAATTATTTGAGCCTAGAAGTGGACTCTTCACCTGCCATTACAACAGCGGCTTAGATCAAAAATCAATGTTTTCCTGAGTCGAAGTGTCTTCACTGTAAAGTTTCCTTTTTCACAGCATGAAAATTAAAGTAAAAAGGTGCTACCTGTATTTGATCGCAATCTGGTCGTCCATCTAACTCAACAATTTTGTACTGTTTTTCAGGAATTCGGTACGCGCTCAAAGCTCTTTTTGCATTCCTGTAAAAATATCATCTAAAAAGTAGCCAATTACAGCAAAAAACAAACTCGACAGATGAATTGCATGTGAAAATTATACAAAAATACCAAGACTACTTAGGACATCGATGAGGAGATTCTGTGTGTCTCCAAAATTTTGGGCGCAGCTATGCCAAGATCTTTGACCCATTGCCCGTCCAGTGTATATGCGAGGGAAATCAATCTGTGTGGTTACGAGGTGTTAGCAGCGACCACCTGTTGATAAGCCTGTTGATGTGTCCTTCTTTCAAAGCAAGCTGATGGTAGACTCGATTCTCTAACATAAACTAATACCGACTTTGTTACTCTACTAAAAATGCGCCATTCCGAGGATTATCAAGCAGATTACTTTTTTTTTCGAAAACACATACCTACAGTGCGGGCAGTAACTTTTGCTGAAAACAACGACCGGTGCAGACTTGATTAAATCTGTTACAAACGTCCGCGGATCCACGCCCGACGCTGGCGTTTCAGAGCAAACCTAAAAAATGAAAAATGATGCACGTTCCAAATATTTCCCTGACAAGTTGTTCTTTTTTTCGATTTCTCAATAAAATGCGTCAAGTTCTACCACCCAGATTTGTCTTTGCAGTCTCTCTGTACCGTTACTTTCAATATTTTCGCAATTCAGTGACAGTCGAGCTGTCACAGGCTCTGAGACCATAACTTTCGTCTCTCCTATTCACCACATTGTTTTCGCTTCTTCCCCTCACACCTCTGCTGCACTAGTAAACCAATAGGCTTCATTAAACCTGTTAAAATTTAGCTTTGCCTGCTGTTATCCTCCAATTAAGCTCTTTCTTCCCTTTCACATCCAGACTCAGCCAAAAACACCATTCGAACAAAAACACACACGGCCCTACCAATCATTATGCTAAGAGACAATGAATGAACTGATGAAAGCTTAAAACGAATGACTAACATTAACGGTATGGCCACCGGAAAGATTAGCTTTCTCCATTGCTTCTTCGAGCTTTCTCTGCTTTGCTTCTTCCAAACGTTCCTGTGCTTTGGCTGCTTCAATTTGCAGTTCTCGTTGCGCCCGTTCACGTGCCGCCCGGACTCTTTCTTCGTACGCTTCTTGTAAATCCGCGTCTGTAAGGCTTTTTATGCACCCTTCCAACGAATTGCTTCACGAAAGTAGGGAAGAAATACGTTAGTGTGTCGGTTTTTATGCGTTTTGTGCTGTGCAACAGCAGTACAAAACGCATATTGATTGTCATGGGGTTGTCTGTGTGTGCGTGTGTGTCCGCAGCAACTTGTCCACAACTTTCAACTCGGGAACCACAAAAGCCAGGAAGCTGAAAATTTAGGGGAACGTTCCCCAGTCACGTGTGACCCCTCAAATTTAAATTCAGCTTCACCGTGGCCGCAGGTAACACGTATGGCCCCGTAAAATTTTCTTATGGGTAAATTAATATCTCGGGAACTACGGAGTCTAGGAGGCTGTAATTTTAGGATAACTACCCCCTGCCCACGCTCAACCTTGCCCATTCAAATTCAGCCTTTCCGTACCCGCGGGCAACACGTACGGCCCTGTGAAAGTTTTTTACGGGTAAATTGATATCTCGGGAACTACGGAGTCTACGACGCTGAAATTTTAGGGTAATGACCCCTGCTTACGCACAACCTTGCCTATTCAAATTCAGCATTCCCGCGTTCTTGAGTACCACTACGGCCTCGTGAAAATTCTGACGGGTAAACTATTAACTCGGGATAAAGTTATTCAATCTTCAAGGTTTCGAATTCAGCTTTCATGCGCTGGTGCGTGAAATTTTTAACTGTTTTCCAATGTCTGAACTATTTCTGCACAGACTAAAGTACAAAGCAGTGAAAATTATTAATAGGCAATCGTTCGATGAGCTGAATTGCACAAAACGCACCGGCTAGTCTGGTGCGCGTTGTTATTTATTTTGTAATAACATGGTCTTTCACCTGCGTATTCATTCTGCAACACAGGTGCTTTGAATAAATGAAAACCTTCAATATGTCTAACGCTGAGAAATTGGCAACGGCTAAAGAAGCTTTAGAAAGACGCATGATGGGCATCAACAAGGTTCATCACTGCACTCCCCGTCTCTCGTGAGCAATGTAAACAAGACAGTGACGCCAGAATGAATGAACCGGTAATGTGACAAAAATGAGAGGCAGTAGATGGGAAAATCGAATCCCCGGATAGTACTCATGCAACACTCCTGAACAATGAGAAAGCCACCATTGTGGTCGAAGGATCTATTTTACATTTTAATCGAGTTGCGTGAATGCAACGAACTCAAAAATAGGGAACTGGAAAGCTGCCAGATGCAACATCGCTAACAAGAAGTCCGACGACGAAACAACAGTTGATCAAATTACGATAGTAAATAAGCATTCAATGTCCCCCAAGTTGAGGGAAGCAAAAAACTACCCGTCAAATCTTCCTCGATTCGAAAATACAATAATTCCTTAATGAAATTCATCTTCCTGGTAAAACACTTTACCGCCGTCTATGGGGTCCCATCATACGAGACGATGCCTTATCCTCCGCATACAGCAAATAAATAGCAAAGCGCACTAGACTAGTCGGTGCGATCATGCGTTTTATGCAATTCAGTCCATCGAACGAATGCCTATTAATGATTTTCACTGCTTTGTACTTTTGTCTGTGCAAAAAAAAATAGTTCAAACATTGGAAAATAGTTAAAAATTTCACGCACCAGCGCATGAAAGCTGAATTCTAAACCTTGCAGGGTGAATATCTTTCCGTAACTCCCAAGTTAATAGTTTCCCCGCCAAAATTCTCACGAGACCGTAAGTGATACTCAAGAGCGAAGAAACGCTGAATCTGAATAGGCAAGATTGAGCGCATGCAGGGGGTTATTACCCTAAAATTCCAGCTTCCTAGACCCCGTGGTTCCCGAGATAATAATTTACCCGTAAAAACTTTCAGTAGCCCGTAGGTGATACCCGAGAGTGCAGGAACGCTGAATTTGAAGGAGCAAGGTTGAGCGTAGGCAGGGGGTCATTACCCCAAAATTTCAGCCTCCTAGACTTCGTGGTTCCTGAGATATTAATTTACCCACAAAAAACTTTCACGAGGCCGTACATGTTCCCGCAGGTACGGGAAGGCTGGATTTAAATTTGCCGCGTCACCCATTCGCGGTGAACACTT